GTCTGTCATGGGAAATAGGATTTTTTTCCCGACGAGTATTTCAGTCATACGATGCTCTCCCTGGGCAGTGCATCTTCAGATCTTATAACCGAACACTTGTGCTGACTTACTGGTTCACTTCTCTAAAACAAGAACGTATACCTTATGAAATGTTGCATTGTACCTAATGTATTTAAATCCTGTTTTAATACCATTAGAGCATAAATACAAAAAACTAACTGGTACGTTGCATCTGGAAGAGTAAAGAGGCCATACGGATGTTACTCGCTTGCAAGACTTACCTCTCTCTCTCTCTCTCTCTCTCTCTCCTCTCGGTAGAGTGAAGGAATGTCTGTGAACCCAGTTTGCACTTTCATACAGAACCGATACAAAAAAAGGATAATAAAATACACCTGGTCGATTTTCACCATCTACAAAACCTAAATACCTATTTACATACTCCGTGACAAGAAACTTAATTAATGTATAGCATCAACTCATTATTACTGAAACAAAGGACAATTTCATTGCCTATTTTACATCAGTCAAATAACATCAAGACAAAACATATAATTATTATTATTATAATCAAAAAGAAGCGCTAAGCCACAAGGACTATACATATAAGGAAGGCGAAATTCACTTTCTTCCAATTAATTTTAATGATAAATATGTAAGTGATCATTTATATAAACCTGATAAATACAAAAATATTAAGGCAGAACACTTAGAAAAAAGGTCTGATCCATTGGCTCCTATTGAATTTTGTCAGTAAATGCCTAAGAATGAATTTATTCAATACTGATAAAGTTTGGTAATATAATGTAACAGTCTGATATTACCAGACTATCAGTACCTATACACAAATAACCCGCACATGAGAGAGAGGAGCTCACCACGACCAAACGTCGTCAGCTCCTCTCTTCTGTGTGCGGGTTATTTGTGTATTGTGCCTTTTTTTTATCAGTAGCTGTGTTTCATTAAAGTCTAAGAAGAAAATAATTATAAATAAATGATATAAGTAATAGTATTTGTCTTGATTATATATATTAGTACTCCAGGTGTGGTTTGATTACATACGAAAAGAGGTTAATTAGTTAATTTGTTTTTAACTTTTCAATATTAAAGGACATACTAATGGAGTCAAGTAACCTTGAGCGGCTTGCATTGTATACCGTTTTAAGGGTTCCTGGGTAAACAATTACACCAACTTTAATTCTTCGAGAAATTAAGTATGAATCATTTACTGCTCAAATATATATTTATTTCCTAGTCTTAATAAGGCGTCAATAACTCTGCTCTTTTTGCTGTGCCAGGTAATCCGGAGTTTATCAACTTCTATCTCTTGAAGTTAAATGTTCTCAGGTTAGACCTTAGAAACCAAACCAAAGAAAACACACTTGTCATAAACAGTCACCACTTGACATTAGTTGTTACCTTAGACAAAATCTCAGTTTTTAATTAATCATATTTCTGGAGCAGAAACACGCCATGAATCTGCAGATTTAAATATTAGGAAATGATGAAACTTAAATAACCATTAGCTTAGATAATATGCATAGTTGCATCACATTAAATCTTTCCAACGGTGTTGACACACCTGTACCGTCCTCCACTCACAACAGTTAGACTGATCCGAGTAACATCTTGAACAACGGGAGCGAGTCCTTTACCACACTTTGCCACCTTGAACGATGTTTAATTTCTTGCGTTTGTTATTGATGCGAGGAATTACTTGCCCTATCCCGTGAGCGCGCGCGAGGTGGTTGTGCAAGTTGTCTTTTCGACTGAAAGAACAGTCGCATGCCGGGCACCGGAAGCGTCGATCTGCGCCATGAGCCCCTTTGTGGCGCTCGAGATGCCCTGTCGACGCCACCGTGACACCACACTCTTCACAAGTAGTTTTGAGCCCAGGGTTGAAGACTCGAGGTGTTGGTAGTGACCGCTTCTGGTTGAATACGTTGCTACTGACACCACTGTTCTCGCTCTGGACGTTGAAGCGCTGCTTCACGTCCTCAGCCTGATCCATCTGACTTGTGGAGTTTGTGCTGGGAGAGGAAGCAGAGATGGAGGGAAGGCTGTTCAGTTGCTGGAGCGCTGAGGAAGAAGTGCAGTTAGAGGCAGATTGAGGTACAATCTGAGAGTGAAATGTAACCTGGAGAGTTCTAGACAGAGTAGGAGGAGGGGGGTGAGCTATATGCACGGAGACATTCGTTTTAGGTTTTATGGGGGTAGCACTAGGAAAATAGGTCTGGGGGTCTCTTGGCCTAATAAATGGCTTCAAAGTAGCGTTCTCGCCTACTCTTGACAATGGGGAGGAGGTAGAGCCCATAGCTGGGTCATAGGGGTAAAGTGTACCATGAGGATGACTGAACACAGGACGGCTGCTGTTATCAAACGCTGATGGAGGGACTGATATTAAGTTGCTGTGAGGGTTTCTAAATGCCGTAGGAACAGACACCTTAGAAGATGCCGGAGAGGAAGAGCTGTTTCGTGAATCGCGAAAAGCACCTTTAAGATCTGAATTCTCTTCTGCTAGGATGTTCGAAGGGGGATTAGTTCTTCCCTTGTGATGTTTAGTTTCACTGAACTGTGATGGTTGGCCTCCGTTAGGGCTTGACTGCATAAAATAAGTGTTATGTGGATATTGAGATACTTCAGTTCTTGGTGGCATGTAATAGCTCGTTGGCTGGGCTCCTGTCGCTGTAGTGCCTGGCACTTGACCATAATAATTGAGGTGCTGGCCTTGTGGCATCCCTGCTGGATGGTACCCTGGCGGTCCTGAGTAGTGACCATAGTCGTGGATATTAAATTCTTGAGGCAGAACCTCGGTGCCTGGGCTAGAAGCAGAGTATGAAGACTCACTCGTTGAGGAGTGAGCACTGGGGCTGTTGGAAGAATATCCAGAGCTTCCGGAGTCACTACAGTTTTGGGCAGGATGACAGATGGAGGCGTTGTTTGCCAGACTTATCGAGGAGTAATGTGGGTTGAATGCAGAGTGGTAAGATGGGCTGACTAATGAATGCTGTGGACAGGTAACTCCATAATCTAAGAACACGTTGACATTCTCTCCAGTGATGTGCAAGGAACTGCTGCCTGGCGGAGCGCCTGAAAAAAGAAAGACAGATGCGATCATTTTATCTGTGTAACTAGACTAATAAAAACAGGAAAAAAATGAGATGGAAGCTAGAGATAAGAGAAACGTGAAGAATCTGTAAGAAACTAATCGCCACAATAAATAACGTAGAACTGCCGTATAATTATCTTTTTTTATCTTCTATTTATACACTACAGTCCAATCCCTCTCATTATATGCTTCTCCAGAATAGACAAATGCTCAAGAAAACATACAGCTAAGAATTATAATATAAATGCTCTGTGGATGTAAAGGCGTATTGCCAACAGTAATGAGACAGATGTGCAACATCTGGGTATCTTTACTGTGGACGTTTCGCCAACCAGTGACTTTTGTATATAGTTCTCCTGTCTTACAATTATGTCCTTGAATTCGTATTGATTGAGCCACTGGATGACGAAACGTCTACAATAAATATACCCAGATGTTGCACATGTGTCCAATTTTCATCATTCTTCTCTGTATTGGACTGAGGAAGCCACTGGTTGGCGAAACGTTTCCACAATAAAGATACCCAAGTGTTGAACATTAAAATGGCATAAAATACCGACAGGTTGTTAGGTAAGACACATATGCAACAGTTAGGTATCTTTATTATGAAACGTTTCGCCTACACAGTAGGCTTCTTCAGTCAAGTACAGAAAAGTTGATAGAAGCAGAAGATACTTGAAGACGATGTAATCAGTCCATCACCCTTAAAGTTTTGAGGTGGTCAGTCCCTCAGTCTGGAGAAGAGCATTGTTCCATAGTATGAAACAATATTGTTTCATACTATTGTTCCATAGTATGAAACAATATTGTTTCATACTATGGAACAATGCTCTTCTCCAGACTGAGGGACTGACCACCTCAAAACTTTAAGGGTGATGGACTGATTACATCGTCTTCAAGTATCTTCTGCTTCTATCAACTTTTCTGTACTTGACTGAAGAAGCCTACTGTGTAGGCGAAACGTTTCATAATAAAGATACCTAACTGTTGCATATGTGTCTTACCTAATACCCAAGTGTTGCACAAGTATCCAGTTCATCACACACTATCATTTTATAACACACACCATATTATAGAATTACCGACAATATATTAGGTAAAAAAAACACAAGTGCAACTAATGTGACATTTTAATGTAGCAGAATTTCGCTCTCCAGGAGCTTCGTCAAAGCTCCTGGAGAGCGAAACGTTGCCACAATATAAAATGTCACATTAGTTACACTAGTGTTTTTTTTTACCTTGCGCACACCATACTATAGGAACATTCTTGGCAATAAAACTACACAGGAATAGCGCAAACCCGGTGTACATCCTGTAGTACTCCACACACCCACGATTCATTACGGTAACGAATTTACTGAATCTCGTCCTCTCCCACCAGTACATACATGCGTGTACTCTGTGTCCTCTGTAAGACGCGACGTTATCCCAAAACGTTATCCCAAAAAAGCTATTTTCGCAATCGTGTCTTGTCTTGGCTGGAAAACAGATATGGTGATACCGATATTGTGTAAATAAAGACATGCGCAGTTCAAGACAAATGTCTTGAACTGCGCATGTCTCAATAAATGTCTTAAACTATGCAAATGTGTCTTTCTTTTCTTCACTACTATCTTCAGTACGCCATTATTAAGCTCTACTCAAAGAGAGAAATGTTGTCAGAATGAAAACTTATTCTGCTCTTGTGTTTATTCTTCAGATTTCTGTATCAGGATTTTTTTTACTACGCTTGAATGGCGTAAAATGACGGGATACTTTTGTCTTGTTAACACATCAGCTGTTTCCCAGTAAGGAAGCGAGACAAAAAGAAAAAAAAGTTTATCATTCATTCCATAATTATTTTTCCAGAAGTGAACTAACAACAAGATTTAATAATCTAAGCACCACTGTATTTTCGCTCTGTGTTCAAGCCATTGCCTCTCAGAACCTCCTTCACATAACATTCCAGTCTTGATCCATGGCTGCGATGCTTCTTCAGGAGGAGATTAGGAGGCTGAAGGTCCACCTCAATGGGTCTGGGAGAGAGTGTGAGGTGGCTGGAGTTGTGGGGAATGAGGCTTCTAGCAGTGAGGTGCAGTCTGTCTCTCGCTGTGAGGAGGCTGTAGTTGGGGAGGTAGCAACGGCTACCAGCAGTGAGGTGCAGTCCAGCACCTGCTACAAGTGGCGAGTGGTTCACAGTAATGGGAGGCGCATCAGAGTAAGGAAAGTTAAGAGTGAAGATCTGAAGGTAGGAAATCGCTTCTCTGTTCTTCAGGATGAATGTACTTCAGTGGCCAGTGAAGGTAAGGGTACTACTGCCCCTGCTAATGGAGGTAAGCGCATTCTTGTGGTTGGTGACTCTCAGGTAAGATATATTGACCGTGCTTTTTGTAATAGGAATAAGAAGATGAGAGATAGAGTGTGCTTCCCTGGAGCTGGTGTTGGGGACATTGTCAACAGGCTGGATAATATCATGTCAGGTAATGGGAACAAGCCCATTATCTGTCTCAGTGCTGGTGGAAATGATATTGGGAAGGGTAGGAGAGAAGAGCTGCTAGATAAGTACAGGTCAGCTATAGATTTCATTAAGTCTAAGGGAGGGATCCCAATCATATGTAGCATCTTGCCTAGAAGGGGAGTAGGAAATGAATGGTTGTCTACGGCAATTGGTGTAAATTGCTGGCTAGACAGATACTGCAAGGAACTTGCAATCCCATACATTGACAACTGGAACAGCTTTTATGGCAAACATGATATGTATGCAAGGGATGGGGTACATCTCTCTGGGGCTGGGGTGGTAGCACTTGCAGACTCGATTGAGAAGGCCATTGGTGAAATGCCTATGATTTTAAACTGATGGAAGATAGAGGTATGGGTGTGTGTGGGAAACAAGCAGGTTGCAACACTAGGGTTGAAAACAGTAAATGTATAAAAGGCATTCAGCATGAAGTTATAAATAAAAACAATAGATCAGGTCAGCAAACAAAGGGGGACAGCAGAGGGCAGCAAGGGACTAGCTCCCTTAAGGTTTACTATACTAATAGCAGGAGTGTAAGAAATAAGATAGATGAGCTAAGATTAATTGCAAGTGCAGAAAACATAGATATTATTGCTATAACAGAGACCTGGCTCAATCTGAAAGATAGAGAGATGCCCTCTGAATGTTACATACAAGGCTATAAATTATTCCACACTGACAGGGTCAACAGGAAAGGTGGTGGAGTAGCGATGTATGTCAGAGACAATTTAAATTGTTGTGTTAGACAATATTAAATTAGAAGCGTCAGCCACTGAATCTGTTTGGTTACAGCTTCTCGAGGGCCGAGAAAAACTAATTTTGGGCGTGATTTACAGGGCCCCAAATCTTGATAGGGAGTGCAGTAAACTTCTATAGGACGAAATTCGTAAGGCATCTACATACGAAAATGTTGTGCTAAGGGGAGATTTCAACTATAGACAGATTGACTGGAGCAATTTGACAGGAAATTTAGAGTCAGGTGACTTTCTTGATACGATCCTGGACTGTTTTTTAAAACAGTTTGTGACAGAGCCAACTAGGGGAAATAACCTCCTTGACTTGGTTCTTGCCAGTAGGGAAACACTAATTAATAATCTTGAGGTTAATGATGAGCTTGGGGAAAGTGATCACAAATCACTCAGTTTTAATATATCATGGAATTCCCCTAATAATGGCAATCAAGTCTCTGTCCCTGACTTCCGCTTGGCTGATTTCATAGGACTGAAAAATTACTTAGGTGGGCTGAACTGGAATGACCTGACTAAGGGTCAGGTAGGTGGTGATGGTTGCCGATATGACGCTTTCCAGGGCATAGTTCTAGCTGCTCAGTCAAATTATGTTCCAAATAGGGAAATCAGATCAAACAAAAATGATCCTAAATGGATGAACAATAGATTAAAATGTCTAATTGGTCAAAAGAGAGGCACATATAGGCAAAACAAAAGAGGGGAGGGGCAATTAAGAGAAAATTAAAGAGAAAAATAAAAAAAGGAATTAGAAAAGCAAAAAGAGATTATGAGGTTAAAGTTGCAAGAGAATCGAAGACTAACCCAAAAGGATTCTTTCAGGTATACAGAAGTAAGATCAGGGACAAGATAGGTCCACTCAAAAGTTCCTCGGGTCAGCTCACTGACAGTGATAAGGAAATGTGTAGAATTTTTAACACATACTTCCTCTCAGTTTTTACACAGGAGGATACCAGCGATATTCCAGAAATGATAAATTATGTGGAACAGGACGATAATAAACTGTGCACGATTAGGGTCACAAGTGACATGGTCCTTAGGCAAATAGATAAAATTAAAACCTAACAAAATCCCCAGGCCCTGATGAACTGTATGCAAGGGTTCTAAAGGAATGTAAAGAGGAGCTTAGCAAACCTTTGGCTAATCTTTTCAACATATCACTACAAACTGGCATGGTGCCAGATAAGTGGAAAATGGCAAATGTGATACCTATTTTCAAAGCAGGTGACAGGTCCTTAGCTTCGAACTATAGACCAATAAGCCTACCCTCCATAGTGGGAAAATTTATGGAATCAATAATTGCCGAGGCAGTTCGTAGCCACCCTGAAAAGTATAAATTAATCAACGAATCTCAGCATGGTTTTACAAGGGGGCGTTCCTGCCTTACGAATTTATTAACTTTTTTCACTAAGGTATTTGAGGAGGTAGATCATGGTAATGAATATGATATTGTGTATATGGACTTCAGTAAGGCTTTTGACAGGGTCCCACATCAGAGACTATTGAGGAAATTTAAGGCACCTGGAATAGGAGGAGAAATTTTTTCCTGGATAGAGGCATGGTTGACAAATAGGCAGCAGAGAGTTTGCCTAAATGGGGAGAAATCAGAGTGGGGAAGCGTCACGAGCGGTGTTCCACAAGGGTCAGTGTTGGGCCCCCTGCTGTTCACAATATACATAAACCACATAGATGAGGGCATAAAGAGCGACATCAGCAAGTTTGCCGATGACACCAAAATAGGCCATCGAATTCATTCTGACGAGGACATTAGAGCACTCCAGGAAGGTTTGAATAGACTGATGCAGTGGTCGGAGAAGTGGCAGATGCAGTTTAATATAGACAAATGCAAAGTTCTAAATGTTGGACAGGACAATAACAGTGCCACATATAAACTAAATAATGTAGATCTTAATATTACGGATTGCGAAAAAGATTTAGGAGTTCTTGTTAGCAGTAACCTGAAACCAAGACAACAGTGCATAAGTGTTCGCAATAAAGCTAATAGAATCCTTGGCTTCATATCAAGAAGCATAAATAATAGGAGTTCTCAGGTTGTTCTTCAACTCTATACATCCTTGGTTAGTATGTAAAGTAAAAGGACACAAGTGCAACTAATGTGACATTTATTGTGGCAACGTTTCGCTCTCCAGGAGCTTTATCAAGCCATTACAAACAATACATGGACACAGAGGGTATATAAAGGCTCTGAGTGAGGTGCAATACTAGTGAGGTACCATTTCGATGTTCACTAGTGGTAGTAGTAGTAGTAGTAGTAGTAGTAGTAGTAGTAGTAGTAGTAGTAGTAACAAAAATAATACAATATGGAAGAGCAAATAATTCGTACATGAGTAAAAGGATATAAAAGCTATTACTTGGGTAACATAAAAAATAGGTTGGACAAATATAGACTGGAAAGAGGCAGGTTTTTTTTCGGTGTTCACTCTCTGTAATGTGCTTGTGTAGTATAACAGGAGAGACTATGTGATGGCAGGGTTTACTGTTTTCAGGAGGATTCTTGCTAAGACTTCGGAGATGGTGAAGCTGCCGTTGTTTTGTTTAATTGTATTCGAAACAGCGATCAGTGCTGATTCAAGGCACTTGCGTGTGCGGAAATTAGTTTCTTTTATCACTGATTGGGCGTCCTGAATTTCATAGATGATTGGTGGAATTTCGGTGTTGTACACAGGCGTTGTTTAAGTTGTCGTTCCTACATGCGTATATGTGTTTCACTGAGGCGGGTGTCGAGGTTTCTTGCTGTTTCACCTACGTAGATCTTGTCACAGCCTCCACAGGTATAGTGTAAACTCCTGCATTGACTGGTTCGTGGTGCTTGGGTTTTGTCCTGGTTAGATCTTTAATGAAGTGGTAGAAGCGATGGCGACTCTGGTGTTAGCTTGTGAAAGTACTTTTGAGACGTTTAGTGCAACCTGGCTGTTGGGAAGAATTATACTTTGTTGGGAGCGGTGTTGATGCGTGGAGAATTGATGATCTGAAGAGCTCTTTTCTTGCAGTCTTTGATGAAAAAAGAAGGAAATTGTAACTCAGTGAATGTTTGGTGAATGTAAGTACATTCCTCGTCAAGAAACTCAGGACTACAAATTCGGTATGCTCTTAGGAAAAACCCGATGATGATGCCTCTTTTGGTCTTGGTATCTTGACTGGAATAGAAGTGTGTGAGATCATTTTATTGGTGGGTTTCCGATAAACTTGAAATCTTAGGTTGTTGTCTACTTTGTGAATGAGGACGTCGAGGAAAGGTAGCTTGTCATTGGACTCTTCTTCTAGTGTAAACTGAATCGCTGGTTCAACTGCGTTGAGCCTTGCCTGAAGATCCCGTACATCAAAACGTTTTGGAGTTATTATGAGGACATCGTCCACGTAACGTAACCAAGTGACGCTTGAAGGGATGATGTTGGCGAAGTGTTCGGACTCTAGGTGTTCCATGTATAAGTTGGCTAGGACGGCACTTATTGGGGACCCCATTCCCATGCCGTAGGTTTGTTTGTAGAGCTTGTTATTGAAAGAAAAACAGTTGAAGTTAACACAGAGTTCAATCAAGTCAACAAAATCTCCGGGAGGTAAAGGAAGATTAAGGTCCTGGTTGACTTTACGTCGTAGAACCTCGATGGCTTTTTTGGTAGGTACTTTTGTGAAGAGGGAAGTCACATCCAAACTGCTTAGTTTCTTGTTACGGATGGAGAGGTTACGGATGCGGTTGAGAAGGTCGCCTGAGTGTTTAAGATGAGCGGGGCTGATGGTCCCCAGAAGGCAGGAAAGATGTTTGGCAAGAACTCCGGCTAGTTTGTGTGGAGCACTGCCTATTCCTGACGTGATTGGTCTGAGAGAAATATTGTGTTTATGGGTCTTGGGTAAACCAACAGCCAGGTTGCACTAAACGTCTCAAAAGTACTTTCACAAGCTAACACCAGAGTCGCCATCGCTTCTACCACTTCAATAAAGGATCTAACCAGGACAAAACCCAAGCACCACGAACCAGTCAATGCAGGAGTTTACACTATACCCTATGGAGGCTGTGACAAGATCTACGTAGGTGAAACAGCAAGAAACCTCGACACCCGCCTCAGTGAACACATATACGCATGTAGGAACGACAACTTAAACAACGCCTGTGTACAACACCGAAATTCCACCAATCATCTTATGAAATTCAGAGACGCCCAATTAGTGATAAAAGAAACTAATTTCCGCACAAGCAAGTGCCTTGAATCAGCACTGATCGCTGTTTCGAATACAATTAAACAAAACAACGGCAGCTTCACCATCTCCGAAGTCTTAGCAAGAATCCTCCTGAAAACAGTAAACCCTGCCATCACATAGTCTCTCCTGTTATACTACACAAGCACATTACAGAGAGTGAACACCGAAAGAAACCTGCCTCTTTCCAGTCTATATTTGTCCAACCTATTTTTTATGTTACCCAAGTAATAGCTTTTATATCCTTTTACTCATGTACGAATTATTTGCTCTTCCATATTGTATTATTTTTGTTACTACTACTACTACTACTACTACTACTACTACTACTACTACTACTACTACTACTACCACTAGTGAACATCGAAATGGTACCTCACTAGTATTGCACCTCACTCAGAGCCTTTATATACCCTCTGTGTCCATGTATTGTTTGTAATGGCTTGATAAAGCTCCTGGAGAGCGAAACGTTGCCACAATAAATGTCACATTAGTTGCACTTGTGTCCTTTTACTTTACATATTGTCGGTAATTCTACCAACTTTATTACAATCCTTGGTTAGGCCTCATTTAGATTATGCTGCACAGTTTTGGTCACCGTATTACGGAGTGGATATAAATGGCCCTGTGGCCTGGTGGTTGGTGGCCCGGTGGCCTGGTGGTTGGTGGCCCGGTGGCCTGGTGGTTGGTGGCCCGGTGGCCTGGTGGTTGGTGGCCCGGTGGCCTGGTGGTTGGTGGCCCGATGGCCTGGTGGCTAAAGCTCCCGCTTCACACACGGAGGGCCCGGGTTCGATTCCCGGCGGGTGGAAACATTTCGACACGTTTCCTTACACCTGTTGTCCTGTTCACCTAGCAGCAAATAGGTACCTGGGTGTTAGTCGACTGGTGTGGGTCGCATCCTGGGGGACAAGATTAAGGACCCCAATGGAAATAAGTTAAACAGTCCTCGATGACGCACTGACTTTCTTGGGTTATCCTGGGTGGCTAACCCTCCGGGGTTAAAAATCCGAACGAAATCTTATCTTATCTTATCTTAATGCTCTGGAAAATGTACAAAGGAGGATGACAAAGTTGATCCCATGTATCAGAAACCTTCCCTATGAGGATAGACTAAGGGCCCTGAAACTGCACTCTCTAGAAAGACGAAGAATTAGGGGGGATATGATTGAGGTGTATAAATGGAAGACAGGAATAAATAAAGGGGATGTAAATAGTGTGCTGAAAATATCTAGCCTAGACAGGACTCGCAGCAATGGTTTTAAGTTAGAAAAATTCAGATTCAGGAAGGATATAGGAAAGCACTGGTTTGGTAATAGAGTTGTGGATGAGTGGAACAAACTCCCAAGTACAGTTCTAGAGGCCAGAACGTTGTGTAGCTTTAAAAATAGGTTGGATAAATACATGAGTGGGTGTGGGTGGGTGTGAGTTGGACCTGATTAGCATGTGCTACCAGGACGGTTGCCGTGTTCCTCCCTTAAGTCAAGGTGACCTGACTGACTAGGTTGGGTGCATTGGCTTAAGCCGGTAGGAGACTTGGACCTGCCTCGCATGGGCCAGTAGGCCTTCTGCAGTGTTCCTTCGTTCTTATGTTCTTCTTATGTTCTTGTACAAGGGTTTGGTGTGAGTATAACCTGCCTAGCATTGATCAGCAGGTCTACAGCAGTGCTCCTTTTATATAATTTAATGGGAGAAAGGTTTGTATATTTTAATGGGAATAAGGTTTATATAAACTCGAAGTTAAAACAGATGATGGCCTTACACGTAGCAGCGTGAGAGTAGTGGGTGGTGGAGTCAGCAGCAGGTGCTGAGGGAGAGTGATCATCACACACACCTGGGAAGTTGGTGTCAGGCTGGTGGGAGAGCGTCTCTCGCGCTGAAGCGATCACACCAAACAAGTCACTGGTGATGTTTGAGCCGAAGTCGTCAACACCATCATCTGTTTTAAGGAGAAATAAAAATAAAGTTAACAGCCTTCCTCTTCACATGCTGTAATTAAATCAAAACTTTGTGATCAAGGTAAGCAGTACAAATAGGACCACTAATGTAAACATTTGTGGTCCTGATGTTAAATATTAGTGGTCCTGTTGAAGATTGAGACACTTATGCAGCACAAGATTGATGGACTGAACACATCGACTCCAGGTTGAGGGACTGATTACCTCATTCTCCTCCTCTCCTTACGCCTTCCTCTTTGTATTGGACTGATGAAGCCACTGTGTGGCGAAACGTTTCCTGAATAAAGATTCCCATTAGTGGTCCTATTTATACTTTTCCCTTGTAATACTTGAACATGTGCAAATGAGATATAAATATTAATTCCGAAATCAGAAATAATTTACGTGCAAACAGACTACGAGAAGAGCAACACTAACTAGGAACAACAAACTGGAGACTCGCCGAGCACATTTACAGGTGAATTAAAGGAGGAAAGAGTCACCTAATGGACTAATGCATTCAGCTCAATAGGGACGTAAAAACAAAGATAAGAAACCTAAAAGAGGTTAATAAATTGAAGCTATGAGGGAATTCAAGATAGGCTCACTTGAATGTTGTTCAGACCAGCTTACTAATAGTGACAAAGAAATATGTACCGTTTTTAATACTTATTTCATATCTGCACATACACGAGACGACACTATTGAAATCGAAGTAATATATAATTACGCAAGATAATAGCCACTAGGGGCAGTGTCCAGACAAGCAGATAAACAGACTAAACGTAACATGACACATGGCCCTGACATCCAGTAATCCAAGTAATCAATAATTACGCATGATCATTGTCACTAGCAACATGTCCTCAAGTAGACAGCCTAAACGAAACAAATTACAGGGCCTTGGCATACTGTTTCCATGGAGATCTTCAGATTTAATTTTGAGCAGGGGTTTTATAACAGAGACAGGAGGCAGGAGTGTTTTCCCGAGACTGGGATGGAGGATATAGTAAGCAGATTAGGAAACGCCGTGAATATAAATGGAGGAAACACGATTATTTTCCCTAGCGCTAGCCTGTCTTACCTGATACAGGAAGTTTGCAACGTAATGGGATGAATGTCAGACATGTTGCCGGTCATCCTTGTGTCAGTGAAGGAGTGTTTGTCTTTTGTGAGCATCATTGAGTTACATATATTTGAAGCATAACACTAACATTACTGCTTGTCGGTATTGTATAGCACTCATGTACAACATTACTGCTGCTGCAGATATGTACAGGGTTAACGCTGATATAAGAATTTCAAAGATGTAAGAACTTTCGAAGCTTTACTCAAAAGGGTCAAACAGCGTCTAGGGAATGGGAAGCACACAGGTTCGATCTAAGGAGAGGGGTAAACGTCTTCTTCCTTGGACCAAAATCTCACCAGTCTTAAGGTATCTTCAGAGGGTTAATGGTTAGCTACTCGGCTGAACTCTGTCATGTGCTTATTACTTAATATACAAAGAGAGTATCCAAAGCCAAGGCTAAAACAATTATTTTTGTAGAAATCGTAATTCTGGGAGATATTAGCCACATAAATACGCTTATGAAAAGAAGATTTCATGTCATCAAACGTACGCTGGCTCAGTCAGCTGCTAAGAACCTAATATTCAGTCCTGGACATTATGATAGTCAACACAAGAACAAGAACGGAGGAAAAATAAGATACATGTACAACATCTGGTTAGTTATATCGTAGACGTTTCACCGTCCAATAGCTTTATCAATGAAAGTTATGACACTTGTACAACATCTGGTTATCTTTATTGAAGACGTTTCGCCATCCAATGGCTTTATCAATACAGATTCTTGGACATAATTAGAAAACAGAAGAACTATATACAAAAGATGAGGTACTTAGTCCCTCAGCCATGGAGGTGGTGCTTACAGCACCGTGGTTGTAGAGATTCTGAAGCACAGGTAAGGAGACTGGCGCTGTAAACACCACCTCCAAGGCTGAGGGACTGATTACCTCATCTTTTGTATATAGTTCTTCTGATTTCTTATTATGTCCAAGAATCTGTATTGATAAAGCCACTGGACGGCGAAACATCTACAATAAAGATAACCAGATGTTGCACAAGTGTCTTAACTTTCATCTTGAAGATTGAGACACTTGTGCAGCATATGGGAATCTTTATTCAGGAAACGTTTCGCCACACAGTGGCTTCATCAGTCCAATACAAAGAGGAAGGCGTAAGGAGAGGAGGAGTATGAGGTAATCAGTCCCTCAGCCTGGAGTCGATGTGTTTAGTCCATCAATCTTGTAGAATGTACAGCATAGGGCCGTAGACGTGGCTTATATACTGTAGTGAGTATAAGCCACGTATATAAGCCACGTCTACGGCCCTATGCTGTACATTCTACAAGATTGATGGACTGAACACATCGACTCCAGGCTGAGGGACTGATTACCTCATACTCCTCCTCTCCTTACGCCTTCCTCTTTGTATTGGACTGATGAAGCCACTGTGTGGCGAAACGTTTCCTGAATAAAGATTCCCATATGCTGCACAAGTGTCTCAATCTTCAACTTGTCGGTTTTTCAAACCATTCATCACAACTTTCATCTTGTCGGTATTGTATACCTGTCTTGCACAACCATACATGTACAAGAACTGAGGAACACTGCAGCAGACTTATTCCCGCACGCTAGGCAGGTCCACCTCACATATCCACCCATGTCCACTTATGTGCCTGTCTAATCTAGTTTTAAAACTAATTAAGGTTTTCCCTTCAATAACACAACCTGGGAGTTTGCTCTACTCATCTGCAACTCTGATGATAAATCAATGCTTCCCTATATACTTTCTCAATCTACATTAGTCCAAATTGAATCTATTGCTGCGAGTCCTGTCTTGGTTAGACATTTTCAGCACATTTATACTGTATTATATTTATTTATTTCATTTGTTCATTAGAGCACTTTAGTCATATTCATTCAATGTTATGCCTCTTCAGAGTGCAAAATGAGTGCCTTCACCCTATCTTCAAAAGAAAGATTTCTAATGTGTGCAACATCATGGAATCTTGATTGTGAGGACATGTACATAACCTTCACGACTATGACAACTACTACTACAACTAACCCATCTCTTTGGGAAGGACCTACTTCCACTGGGGAATCCCGCCAACCAGTGACTATGCCCTCGTCTGCTACACCTGACGTTAGTATATAAGCGCCAGGCTCCTTGCTTCTGCTTCAGAATCTCCATGACTACGGTGCTCTTCGCACCTACTCCAAGGTTGAGGGACTGATTACCTCATCTTCTGTGGTCAGTGGTCAGTCGTCACGTGAGGTCACAGACCCTGAGCTGCTTTGGGGATTAGCGTGGACGGATACAAAGCATGGCTTGCTTCTGCAGTGTTTTAAAAATTGAGGTTGGAGAGTTGAAGGAGGAGGTCTTGCTTCTCCAGGAGGACATTAGGAGGCTGAAGGTCCACCTCAATGGGTCTGGGAGAGAGTGTGAGGTGGCTGGAGTTGTGGGGAATGAGGCTTCTAGCAGTGAGGGGCAGTGCAGCACCTGCTACAAGTGGCGAGTGGTTCACAGTAATGGGAGGCGCATCAGAGTAAGGAAAGTTAAGAGTGAAGATCTGAAGGTAGGAAATCGCTTCTCTGTTCTTCAGGATGAATGTACTTCAGTGGCCAGTGAAGGTAAGGGTACTACTGCCCCTGCTAATGGAGGTAAGCGCATTCTTGTGGTTGGTGACTCTCAGGTAAGATATATTGACCGTGCTTTTTGTAATAGGAATAAGAAGATGAGAGATAGAGTGTGCTTCCCTGGAGCTGGTGTTGGGGACATTGTCAACAGGCTGTATAATATCATGTCAAGTAATGGGAACAAGCCCATTATCTGTCTCAGCGCTGGTGGAAATGATATTGGGAAGGGTAGGAGAGAAGAGCTGCTAGATAAGTACAGGTCAGCTATAGATTTCATTAAGTCTAAGGGAGGGATCCCAATCATATGTAGCATCTTGATTAGAAGGGGAGTAGGAAATGAATGGTTGTCTAGGGCAATTGGTGTAAATTGCTGGCTAGACAGATACTGCAAGGAACTTGCAATCCCATTCATTGACAACTGGAACAACTTTTATGGCAAACATGGTATGTATGCAAGGGATGGGGTACATCTCTCTGGGGCTAGGGTGGTAGCACTTGCAGACTCGATTGAGAAGGCCATTGGTGAAATGCCTATGATTTTAAACTGATGGAAGATAGAGGTATGGGTGTGTGTGGGAAACAAGCAGGTTGCAACACTTGGGTTGGAAACAGTAAATGTATAAAAGGCATTCTGCATGAAGTTATAAATAAAGACAATAGATCAGGTCAGCAAACAAAGGGGGACAGCAGAGGGCAGCAAGGGACTAGCTCCCTTAAGGTTTACTATACTAATAGCAGGAGTGTAAGAAATAAGATAGATGAGCTAAGATTAATTGCAAGTGCAGGAAACATAGATATTTTTGCTATAACAGAGACCTGGCTCAATCTGAAAGATAGAGAGATGCCCTCTGAATGTCACATACAAGGCTATAAATTATTCCACACTGACAGGGTCAACAGGAAAGATGGTGGAGTAGCGATGTATATCAGAGACAATTTAAATTGTTGTGTTAGACAAGATATTAAATTAGAAGCGTCAGCCACTGAATCTGTTTGGTTACAGCTTCTCGAGGGCCGAGAAAAACTAATTTTGGGTGTGATTTACAGGGCCCCAAATCTTGATAGGGAGTGCAGTAAACTTCTATGGGACGAAATTCGTAAGGCATCTACATTCGAAAATGTTGTGCTAATGGGAGATTTCAACTATAGACAGATTGACTGGAGCAATTTGACAGGAAATTTAGAGTCAGGTGACTTTCTTGACACGATCCAGGATTGTTTTTTAAAACAGTTTGTGACAGAGCCAACTAGGGGAAATAACCTCCTTGACTTGGTTCTTGCCAGTAGGGAAACACTAATT